TCAAAAGTTAAATTGAAATGGAGAGATGTCTGGCTATGCCATGATCTATTTTGCATATAACAAACAGATCATGTCATAGCCACATATCTTTCCATTTAACTTTTAAAAATCATAGAACTGTGAAACTAGTAAAGATACTCTCTGGTTATAATGTATAACCACTTGAAGTGACAGAGATGTGGTTCTCCTGATAAATAATAAGAGTATCATGAACAGATCATGTGAGCAAAGCAACAAAGAAGTCTTAAAGAAAATAAGAACTTTCAGGAAATATATACTTACAATAAGAAAGATACAGTAGAAATTTCAGGGACACATGATGAGAAAGGATGGCTGAAAGAATTTAACACTTACAGTTCATAGTGACACCAGGAGGAACAGAGAGAAACCTATTTAACAAGTTTGAATGGTAGAACAAGGACAAAGGAATGGTAAAGGGTCAAAAGTTACTTAGAACAATAAAATACAGCAAGTTGTGGAGAGCCATGATCATCTATGCGCTGACAGGAAAATGCACATAAAAGAAAATCCATATATGGATGATGCTTTATGTATTCAAAATATCCTTCTCCTGCATAAGACATTGTTTTTATCATTAGGAGTGAGTGTGAAAAAAATTAGCTAACATATCTCTTGTTACTGCTCAATAATTCTTACCAATTCTTATTTCAAAACTGGAATTTTCTAGATGCTTTCTAAATGCAACACATGATAAAAAGTTAACAGAAATACTTGAAAAAAAAACAACATTGAGAAATCCTATTCCAATTTCTGATTTGGTAAAAAATAAAAAAGAACAAATTACATTTACTATGAATACAGATAGAAAATAACTTTTACTCACAGGAAAGCCAGAAGAATTCATGGTCAAATGAAATACCACTTGGATGTCTACCCATCCATTTTTTCTCTATGACTCCAAGATTTTTTATACCATTTCCATGCAGGATCTGTAAGACAGAATTCTTTATTTGAAGACCTTGTGGGTTAAACATTATCCATCAACAGGAGAATAGTCCAGAAGATTAAAACATTGGTTTGTGAAATTGGTTGCATGGTAATTGTGAGTTCAATCCATCAGGCTCAACAAAAACAGAACTACCTATAACTGAGCAATACTAAAGATGAACTCTAGAAATCTTTTATACTCAGATCTTATATAAGCTGGATTAATTTGGCAATTGATTTTTGATTTTGAAAGTCATGGTGTGCTTTTTCAGGCAGGATCCATTTATATGAGCATTGAATGCCCACCAATAGTATGGTGAGAGATGCTAAAAGCAATATTTTGTAGATTGCTGGTTTCAGCCATATTTTTGTAGTTCTCACAGACTTTGGAATTTTTCAGTAGAATTATGCCACTTGTATCTTTCTCTAGTGGCTTTTACTTGAAAATCAAAATTGATATTAAACACATTCAAGTATGATTTCCAGGAATCTTTTAAGTATTTTTCTTGGCCACTTGGCTGTCATTTTTCCTGTTGTCACTGACACAAAGAATAGTTTTGGTAATTGGTCTACCATGTATGCTACATATTTTGCACTAGAGAAAGGCTGAAGAATGGACTGACAAAATGGTGTAAATAAAAAAAAATAGTGCAAATTCACTCTAACAATGATAGCAATGAAGGAAATAAATCTAACAATGACAGCAATGATTAATTTTAAACAAGATTTATCAAACCAGATCATAATTTGACATAATGCAACTGAAAACTAGAAAGATTGAAAAATCATAATCCATATTATAAAATTATTTTATAATTTAATCTATAGTATTTACATTAGTCGGACTATTGTCCTCATCTTTGTCGCCATATTTGTCACAACGTTTCAGCCGTTGTATGCTCCGGGTATTGAACTCACACTCTTTGGGTCTGTCACTGGATCTAACCAACGCCTTTATCCACTGTGCCGGTTAAGGCAGTGGAGAACTTTCAGAGGAAAAATTAGCAGGAGATAACTGATAACTGACATCCATCAAACATGGCACGTGGAACTAGAACAGTCTACCCCAGTGATCGAAATAAAGGGTTCAGTTTCAAATTCCAACCACCTGAAGAAGGCAGGAGCGTTGTGACAAATATGGCGACAAAGATGAGGACAATAGTCCGACTAATGTAAATACTGTACATAATACCTCATCTCAGAAATATAGACAGAATTTAATCTATATCATAAAATTATATTAATTTAATCCATGGTATACAATTATAATTTAATACATATTATAAAATTACATTATAATTTTATTTATATTATATTATAATTTAATCCATATTATAAAATTATATTAATTTAATTTATATTATAAAAGATGAGCTGATTCTCTGTCAATCACAGACTGCATGCATGTATCTAATGTATGTCTGCATTGTGCTTTAGTGACTAACATGCACTTATGCCATTTAATGTATATACAAGTACTTCTGCATACACACAATTTGGTTGAGTTTGAAACAAGACAGTGGAAATATGCATTTCACTCCATTTAATCTGAACAACCCATACCTTGGGATGAGCAATAAAAGTGGGAGACCAGAAAAAAAAGTTTAAACACTAAAGAGTTAGATAATTATAACATTTTATTAAACATTTTGCAAATTATTCTTTTAATTTTGTAAAAATATTTTTAGGTCTGACACTGAATTTAAATATGCTTGTGCACATGTAAATATACATACACACAAAATCTGAATGAAATTGAAATGCGCATCTGTGTTACAACCCCTGGATAACAGGAAAAGAATATAAGCCTAGTCTGTGTCGTCATTGTTATGACTCCTGTATTATGACAGAATATATTTTCTAAGAAATGTAGTAATTTAAAACGACAAACATTTTAAACTTAAAAAATGAATGCAAAATGACAGGTACCAAACTAGTATCTATAATCTCTGGCTGAACTTTTTCATGACTCCTGTATTTAAACTGAATATATTTTCTAATAGATGTAGTATTTTGAATGGACAAACAATTTAGATTTGAAATTTGATCATCTTGCCATCATCAAAGTGATAGGTACAGAACTTGTTCATTTGAAACTGGAAAAAAGTGAAAAACTTTTTAAATTGATGGAAATATCTTTTTTTTAACAATATCTGCTACCATGTTATATAAATAACAGATTATTGCAAGATGGCTTTGAAAGTCATTTACTTTTTGACAATGTCAAGTTGGACAGATATTGTTATCTAAATGTCATCTACAAGGATTGCCAAATGGAAGAACAATATAAGTAAAATTACAATTTAATTTGTGATATTTAATAGGTATAGTGTCCTACTGTGTAAGGATCTTTTTTACTGTCAATTTATTTCCAAATAAAAGGTCTGTCTACAAGTGCAATGCTGCCTTAGTCTACTTCAAATACTTATCTCAATAAGACTGTCACTTTCCAAAACAATCAGCAAAGTCCTCTTTTCAGATTACCTAATTGCATTTTTCTTAATCTTATTCATAGTTTGAAATTTTCTATCATCACCAATTTTGGCTTTGGTAAATCCATTCAGTTAGTCAGCCACAGTGGAGTAATGGATACCAGCTCGGATTGAGAAACCAGAGAACCAAGTTCAAATTCCAGTCAATTCCATTACATTCACTTATATGCTAATACCCTTCCCAAGGTATGAATCTTCTTATTCTTCTCCCTACCTATGGGTAAATAGCAGGACAGATTGGGTTCTATAGCCTTGGATGGCAACTGGTTTACCGCAGAAAGAAATGGCAATCTACTGCAGGAAAAAATCTGCCTCGTCAGTCATGTACTGAAAGATACATCATCGCCTAAGTGTGTATCATGCATGGCACATAACTGACTGACTGATGAGTGTTGAGGTTAATGTTCTCTTTCTGAATATCAAATATTAAGAAGATCTTTAAAGGATGAATAAATAAAATTCAAGGTACCTGAAATTGTATATTCCTTGAAAATCTGCATGGAAGACAAAAACTATTGATCTGAGCAACAATTTCTTCATTTTGGTTTTTTACTTGGAATTTCTCACCAAATAATGAAAATCTGGAAAGCAAAATAAACAAAATAATAATAAATAATTAAATGAAAGAGAAAATTTTAGATTAAATTAATCTGTTTCAGACTGATAAATTAATGTTTTTTCTCAATTTAGTAAATACTGAAATTATTAGAACAGATTTTGATTTGATTTGTTTTTTACAGTTTATCAACCCTTTCAGGTTATTTAAAAACAAAACATATTTTTAGATTGTAAGAATTTTTGGGAAATAATATTGATCTTCTGATAAAAATCCTACTATTTAACCTGCAGTTGGGGGGAGAAGAAGTGGATCCATACCTTTACCAAGAGTATTTGCATGTAATTTAATGTAACAAACCTGAATGGAATCTGAACTCAACTCCCTAATTCATCTGAGGGTCTTCAGGGATGTAGGCATATTCACCACACTTGGCCAATTGCAAGTTGGTGAGGCTATTTAATCTATAGTTTTGAATTCAGAGTTGTCCTTCTTCTAGACCAGTTGCCACTCAAGTCTATAGATCCCAGTCTGTCCTGCTATTTTTTCCATAGCTGAAGGGAGAAGAGATGAATTCATACCTTTCCCAAGGATATTTGCACATACAGAGGAACCTTGTTTTTCAAACGTCTCACATATCGAACAAATCATTTTTCAAACAGAAATTTCAAGATGAAAATGCCTCAGTTATCAAACAAAATTTCAGTTCTCGAACAACAAGTTAACACAAACGGAATCATTTCTGAGTCGACCATGTTGTATACATTCATGTGCTGTGCCATGTTTTTCTTTTCCAATTTTATTGTACTGTGAGTTTTTTTCTCTGGAAAAATAGTTTTGGTTTACGAACATTTGGGGTTATGAACAGCCTTAAGGAACTAATTAAATTTATGAACTGAGGTTCTACTGTTATTTGAATATAAAAAACCTGACTGAAATTCAAACTCAGCTCCTTTCTCATTCTGAGCCGTTTTCCATTACACTACCCACATATCCAAGCTCATAGTACCTGGTATTTCAGAACGGTCACCTATCTAGGTACTGACCAGTCTCAACGTTGCTTAACTTCAGTGATTGGACGAGAACCAGTGTTTCAATGTAATATGGCCTTAAGCCTATTAGAATAGATTAACACTGATTATATATACTCACCACAGACTCCTGTCATTTAATACTCTAAAAGATTAACAATCAAATAGGCATGGCCTATGAATATTCTTCTTCTTCTATCTGCCATGTCCCTTCAGGAAGTTGTTATCAGTTTTCTGTTCTTTGTCACTTAATAAATTTTGTCTTTTTGTTATCTGTCTTAAACTTTGTTCCACCATCCATTTACTTAAGCTCAGTAGATAGGTTATGCATTGTTTACCTGTGTCCTTCCTGCCTTCAATTTGTCCTGTGAGTATAAAATTTTCCAAGCCCTCTTTCTCATTATGTGCGCTAGAAATTTCAACTTTCTCTTTCTGGTGTTAAGTATAAGTGTCATTTTGTTTCTATTTTCTCTAAAACTTTGTTGTTGCACACATATTGGGTCCATGGTATTCTCTGCATCTTTCTGTAGAACCACATTTCTGTTGCTTCAAATCTCTTCTTCATCTGTGAGGAGATTGTCTAGCATTCACTGCCATATATGAGGACTGATATTAGTCCAGTGCTCTTGTTAAATAATAGTTTAGCAGACTATTATTTTTAGGGGAATTGTATCTCAGCTGCAACTTCTGGAAGTTGACATTCAAGGTCAGGTGCATGCCAAAATAAGGTAGTCAATTTTGATTGGCTGAACTAACATGAGAATGATACATAGGAGAAAGGTTTCAGTGAGTCGAGTCTTAATCATTAAACAATGTAGATGTGTTTTCTTTTGTGTCTGAAATGGCTCCCCAGTGAGGAGGAACAACCCCCACTGGATAGATAGAACATGTTGACATGAATGATAATAAAATAGTTAAGTAAAAATTCCCTGTGTTGAAGTTCTTCCATTTCTGGAGCCAAGCTGGCCAAGAGAATACATGATGGGATCACCCCTGCCAAGAGACTATACAACACTTTTTTCATTGTTTCTAATGTAATTTTCCTGTTCCTTAATAATTTGCTTAACTTTTGGAATGTATCTTTCACTATCCTAATGTGCCTTTGGATATCAGTGTCATACTTTTCATTCTCTGTTAACATACTTCCCAGATATTTAAATTGTAGTAGATGTTTGATTTTGGTACTTCCAATTTGTAATTTGCATATTGGGCTGTTCCTTTTTCTGACAGCTATGCATTCTATGTTCTTAAAATTGATGTTTAGGTCTTTCTTCTCACTTTCTTTCACTACCTTCTGTAGGAATTCTTATAGTTTCCTTTCTATGTCCACTATGAACACTGTGTCATCTGCATATCTTATGTTGTTAAAATTGTGGCCTCCAATTCTTTCAGAATCAATTCCTGTATAGGTTGAATAGGTCTGGTGAGAAGACACATCCTTGTATTACATCCCTTTCTATTTTCATATATTTACTGAATTTATTTTCTATCTATATGTAGGTGGTTTGCTGCCACATGATTCTGGATTATTTTAATATCCTTCTCAAATATGTAACACTTACCTAGCAATTAAAACAGTTTTTTGTGACATACTTTGTCAGATATGTTTCTATAATCTATTTTAAATAAAAAACACAAGTAAATGAACAATGTGAGAGACAATCCCTGATAGCAAACAGATTTAATATACAACATATGCAATAGATAATATTAGATTGGTGGCAAGGTCTCATCATCTTACAGCAGAAATGACTAGATGCTAACAGTTCTTGCACTTCTTGCTTGTGAAAATCTCTTGCTTCCCAATAAATGCTGGACAATCTCCCCACAGATGTGAAGGAAGCTGAAGGTAACAGAAATGTAGTTCTACAGAAGGATGCTGAGAACTCTCTCACTCTCTCTCTCTTTCTCTCTCTATATATATTCATATACATATATATTAGTACTGGAGCCTTCTGATTGTGTAAATATGTATGTGACATGATCATGTCATACAACAATGTCCATTGACCAAATGTTTTCATGGATAATCACAAGACATTCAGTTATAAGAAGGCTATGTGAAGGTGATACAAGGTCATCAAATTCTTGTTGAATTACTGCTCTTATTGCTTAAGTTGATATGGAGAGACTAAGTAACATTTTCATCCCTTTAAATGCATGTAAATTTTGCATAATTTGCACTTGCACATTTTGACTATTTAAAATATCCACTTCATGTTGCATGAATGCCATGTTTTTGTTTTTATTCTTATTTTGCAAAAGGTTAGTCATTGGTAACAAAATCTTTGAGTAATTTGGAATGAATCATTGATAATAGTTCACTAGAAAGATAAAATGAATGTTGCTTTAATGATGTCGATTGAAGGACATTATAAATAGCTTCAGGTTTCGCTGGTAATATTCGATGCTGATCTATGACATACTCTTGAAATGTTTATTCGTCATCACCAAAGATACAGTTATTCTAATTGTCCTTAAGGTCAAAATATGATAATCTTCAAAATTTTTGGCAGAATTTATTTATATGCTTCTTTGTTTTTACTGGTAAGGAGTACATCTTTCAAGCAGACATATGCAATTTTTTTTTACAATAATGTTCCTCCAGTGCAAGGTCTAAGAGCCTCTTGAGGTAGAGAGTTACAGAGTAAAAGGCACAGTTTATTCAAATTATAGCAAACACTTAAGTAGAACATATTCTATCAATTGATCAGTTTCAGATAAAATAAAAACCTAAAACTTCTTTTTATTGAAAACAATTAATATGACATAATATCTCTACTGAGTGAATACCAACTTAAAATTTAATTAACTTATAATTTACAGAGAGAAATAAAATTTACACAACACTTAAAAAAATATATCAAATTATTAAGCTGCAAAGTTTCAGCTTTTAAGTATGTATAAACTTATCAGAAATTATATATCCTTCAAGCAATACACATTCAAATAAAGCTGAGCATTTTTTTAAAAATGTTCATTTGCATACTATTACATCAATGTACCAAGTATAAATAAATGGATAATGTATCAAGTAGGGATTCCATGTGAGTCCTCATTGCAGCAGGAGTAACAGGAGTCATTAAGAAATCTTCCTGTATCTACTCTATTTATTGTTGTATAAAACTCTCTTCAAAAGAAGAAATTGTACTAAAATACAATGTTTGTAAAACACTTCAACAAATTCTGGATTGTAAAAAAATGTTGGATTTACACTTTATCAGCTTTCTTCTTTTCCTTTATTTTTACTTTGTGGACAAGTTGAATAATTTTACAAGAGCAAATTTTCACTCACTCAAACATCTACACATTTATTTACACTAATTTCCAAGCAATAGAAATCTAGCTCTACAGAAGGATGCTGAGAATACCATGGACTGAACATATGAACAACAATGAACCTTTAGAGAAAATAGAAACAAAAAGGACACTTAAATTTAACATCAGACAGAGATAGTTGAAATTTTTAGGACACATAAGCTTCTGGCCATATCATGTTAAAACATTGGCTCTCATATCATCATCAAAATCAAGCAACATCAAGCCTGGTCAGTACCTAGATGGAGGACCACTTGAGAATATCAGGTGCTGTAAGCTTGGATGTGCAGGTGGTGTAATGTATAATGGCTCAGAATTGGAGTTCAGAGATTTGAGTTCCAATTCCTGTTGAGTTCATTATATTCACTTACATGCAAATATCCTTGGGGAAGGGATGAATCTATCTCTTATCTAGGACCTGTATCAGTAAATCATTTTTATTCCCCAAAAATTCTTACAACTTAAAAATATAAACTGGCTTTAAATAACCGGCAAAAGGTTGATAGGCCATAAAAAACAAAACAAAACAATCAATCAGGCAATCTAGGGCACATAATGAGGAAAGAAGGCTTACAAAATTTGGCACTCACAGGACATATTAATGGGCAAGAGAGACAGAGGAAAGTAGCACATAATGTACCTAAAGAGCTTGTATAAATGGTTGGCAGAACAGGGTTTAGGAGAGATAGCAAAAAGACAAAATTTACAGAATCACAAAGTATAGGAAATTGGGGAGAGCCATGATCGCCTACATCCTGAAGGGAAACAGTACATAGAAGAGAGAGGTTTTGCCTGTTCTAAACTCCAGCCTATACATATATATATATATATATATATATATATATATACTATTTTGAATAATACACACACACACACACATATATATATATATATATATATATATATATACTATTTTTTGAATACTACACACACACATATATATATATATATATATACTATTTATACTAAACACACACACACACACACACACATATATATATATATATATATACCAGATAAATATAGTGTGTGTATATATATATATATATACACACTATATTTATATTATTATTCTAAATATTCTATATTTCTAATAACCAGCAAAAAATATTTTGGAATACTATATATATATATATATATATATATATATATACTATTTTGGAAAACTACACCTAGTTATGATTGGGGGATGATGTGTATAGGTCAGATTTGAATATTTTTAAGAACTCTGGCAGAAGCACCAGACATAATGCATTCTGAAAATAAGTTGTATTGTCACCTTCAAGTCCTTCCCAGTTATCCAACCAAATGTGCAACATCCATGACTGATCAATGAAATGACCGCTTTAATCCAGACCTTGCCCTATCCCATGTTGTAATTGGCTTTGATCATAAGGCCAGCAAGGATCAGATCAATGCTGAGTATCTTCATATTGGTCCAAGTGGAATGAGGACACAAGAAAAGTAAATACTTGAATAAAAAAATAAATGTTTTTATATGTTTCTTTGTATAATACTTGGTTGACTTCATTGCTAAAATCTAACAGTTCGCATGTGGACAGTTATCAACCCAACCGACTTCTTAAGTTAGACATGATACTTTGGTTAGCTTGTTGAAATTTGACACAAGGCTGATGTCGGAGGTTCTCTTCAGGCAGATAGTCATGCAAGGTTGTCCACATCTGGTGTCTCGTACAATTCTCTCTTTTCACTTTGACTCCTTCGTATTTATTGACATTCACCTAAAACCAGTGGTGGTG